GGTACTTGGCGGCCACCTTCCCCCACCCAACGCCTCCCCCATCAGTGACCCCCACCACCACGAGTGACTCACAGTGGTGTGTGTTGGTTGACGCCGTGGTTAAGGCGGCGTTGGAGCCGCCCCGGGCTGCCCGCCGTCTGGTGACACCCTCAGTATTTACTGTGCAGGGCGGCCAGTATTTCCTTCTCTGCTGGACAACACTACAATGAAAACACTGCAAACTGCATTCATGTTCAACCGAACTCCACATGACAACGTTTCAGATTGCTTATTTAACTTATTGTTTTGTTAAGTTCCCCCTATTATATAAATACGCTTCTGCCTGAGGTCTCCAAATAGTTTCGATAATACCAGCTGAATGTGTGTGGCTTACGACTAGGCTACTGGTTTGGCGTTTGGTTTAGTGTTGGGCTTAAGGCCAATTAACTGAATGAACGACCACCTTAATACTGTACTTGGAAAAAAGGGATGGTTGTGACTGTGATGCTGCTGTTAATGTGATGCTGACTTAATGTGTGACGCTTCAAGATAGCATGCAAGCTGCTGCTTTGTGCCTCACTGAGGTAAATAAACAGTCTACAGAAACGCACAAATGCAAATGATGATCGAGTTGGCTGGGCTTCTCAACATCCCGGATTCATGTAAGGAATCTGTCTCCAGTCAGACCCTAGACTCGGCCAACAGTCATGATGCTACTAGGCCAGCAATTACTAGTCCAGTAACTACTGAAATGTTGGAACATGTTGCAGTTGTAAAAGTTGAGGGGAAATGCAACCCCCTTAGTTGTAAAATCTTATGGATTTGAAAGTCTACAAATCTGTAGATGGTTGTGTTTACACTGCCAGTATTGTAATGTGTGATGACTGGTCAGGTCCTGGAAGACTGTGGTGGCACTGGTATCCTGTGGCATTACCCACATGCACTGTAAGGTTGATGTTATCAATACTGTATCAAGGCGCACTACTACTCTCAAATGGTACTCAGTAGTATTTGATCATGTGTGGGTCTATGCCTTGTTTCACCAGCAACAGCAACTTTGCAAATGTGTATGGTGATGTGATGGTGATGTGCTACGTGAAATATCTCAATTGGCTAATTCATATGATGCTAACCTCGTGGTGGTGGGAGAGTTTAACACCGATTTTTCTCGACAAGATGCATTTTTTAATTTGTTTAATGCGTTTAAGGATGCAGAAAATTTACATAACCCTGCTTTCAATATTGAATTTAATATTTACTTTAGCTTTCTACCATGGGATGAGAGAGAGAGAGAGAGGGGGTCTCACACTGGCCACTGTGGATTATCAGCGATGGTGATAACCTGTCCGGACATATTCCTGTCATAACCGTCTTCAGTATACCTCATTTGTACTATATTATATACTAGATGAGTACTTGCAAGTACCTGCTGCTGTCGCCAGTGAGAACAGAAACCTCCAAAGAACATTTGAATTGGGAGAAGGCCAAAGTTGCTCATCTAGACGAGTTTAAATGCCTGATGAACGGTAAACTTGATAATATACACATTCCAACTTCTGTATTTGCCTGTACTAATCTTCAGTGTAATTTGCAACAGAACAGTCTCAATTTTGTTACACGTGTCATGTCAGTGCTAGTTAGAGTGAGTGAGGAGAGTATCCCTCTTAGAACAAATAGACAAAGAGGAAACGCCTGGTTGGAATGATCACGTTAGGGCATCCCAAAATAGATTATCTTTTGATATAACCAATGAAAAAATGGCTGGTTCTCTTAGACCACAAGCAGCACCAGGGCTCAATATCAACCAGAAAGAGGATTAAAAAAGATAAATGTAATATTATGCCATCAAATATTGCCGATATTCATAAGAAAAACTAATTTGAGAATTTTGGAACGAAATTAGGCAAATAAAAAGTTCATGTAAAAGGGAAATAAACTTCACTGACGATCCCTCTCGGTCCCATAATATAAGTACACTACAGCGAAAAGGAGAACAACAAATTCATGCGGTAACTTACTATAAAATTAAGTTAATCTGGGAAATGCTCAGAACATGGTTGGGCTTTTTTTTCTTAGTAAAAATATAAATGCTGTACAAATCGATTAATCTAATATTATACTGCCTTTTAAAACTATTTTAGTGGAAGTAAAAGAAAGAAGAGTGTTGGTGAAGGGCAACTGACTGGTCAGGTGGTATTGTGTGAGGTGGTAATGGTCGACCCGCCGCCACTCATCACACTGGTGGGCCAACTGTCACTCAACTATGTCAGCCTCGTCCGCTGCCCCCCACACCTGCCCACATGTTACTATTCCCCACCACTATAATGACCCACTCGCAACACTGATGGCCCAGGTAAGTCCACTACGGGCTCGCCATAGCCCGTTATACTTGGAACTTGTTCAGAGTAGCTGAATCTACAACACTGATGGCATCTAGCGGACACGACCTGCCCGGACACAATCGCCTTCCTAGCAGCCAATGTGGTCAACCAACCTAGTTGGTCCGGCACTTCTGGAAGAAAACTAGTTTTCTCTTGAAGATGTCCACGGTTGCTCCGGCAATATTTTTACCCACGTTAGTTGGCGGGACCGATTTCCAACTCACAGATATCTCTTTACTTTAGGTGGCTACACTTTCGTAGTGTTTCATCGTATCTATTTAAACTATGGATGAAATTAGCCTCCACTATCTTTATCCCCCCCCCTAGTTCAACTTGTTCACTCTCTCGGTGAATGAGATGTTGGGTGTGGTGGAGTGAGGCCCACCAGTAACTGGGCCTCCGACCCTCCACAACCCTCATTTCCTGCCTCACCTCACTCGCCCTGAGCCTCACCGTGTAAATCCATTCGTCGTGGAGACAGGGAAGAAACAAAATTTTATAACGGAAAGAGTGTATGCTAGAGAGAGCGCGAGCTAAAGTGAGAGAGCCCGAGAGAGCGCGAGCTAAAGTGAGAGCACAAGAAAGAGCGAGCTAGAGTGAGCACAAGAAAGAGCGAGCTAGAGTGAGCACAAGAGAGCGAGCTAGAGAGAGCACAAGAGAGCGAGCTAGAGAGAGCACAAGAGAGCGAGCTAGAGAGAGCACAAGAGAGCGAGCTAGAGAGAGCACAAGAGAGCGAGCTAGAGTGAGCACAAGAAAGAGCGAGCTAGAGTGAGCACAAGAAAGAGCGAGCTAGAGTGAGCACAAGAGAGCGAGCTAGAGAGAGCACAAGAAAGAGCGAGCTAGAGTGAGCACAAGAAAGAGCGAGCTAGAGAGAGCACAAGAGAGCGAGCTAGAGAGAGCACAAGAAAGAGCGAGCTAGAGTGAGCACAAGAAAGAGCGAGCTAGAGTGAGCACAAGAAAGAGCGAGCTAGAGTGAGCACAAGAAAGAGCGAGCTAGAGTGAGCACAAGAAAGAGCGAGCTAGAGAGAGCACAAGAGAGCGAGCTAGAGAGAGCACAAGAGAGCGAGCTAGAGAGAGCACAAGAAAGAGCGAGCTAGAGTGAGCACAAGAAAGAGCGAGCTAGAGAGAGCACAAGAGAGCGAGCTAGAGAGAGCACAAGAGAGCGAGCTAAAGAGAGCACAAGAGAGCGAGCTAGAGAGAGCACAAGAGAGCGAGCTAGAGAGAGCACAAGAGAGCGAGCTAGAGAGAGCACAAGAGAGCGAGCTAGAGAGAGCACAAGAGAGCGAGCTAGAGAGAGCACAAGAGAGCGAGCTAGAGAGAGCACAAGAGAGCGAGCTAGAGAGAGCACAAGAGAGCGAGCTAGAGAGAGCACAAGAGAGCGAGCTAGAGAGAGCACAAGAGAGCGAGCTAGAGAGAGCACAAGAGAGCGAGCTAGAGAGAGAGCACAAGAGAGCGAGCTAGAGAGAGAGCACAAGAGAGCGAGCTAGAGAGAGAGCACAAGAGAGCGAGCTAGAGAGAGAGCACAAGAGAGCGAGCTAGAGAGAGAGCACAAGAGAGCGAGCTAGAGAGAGCACAAGAGAGCGAGCTAGAGAGAGAGCACAAGAGAGCGAGCTAGAGAGAGAGCACAAGAGAGCGAGCTAGAGAGCACAAGAGAGCGAGTTAGAGAGCACAAGAGAGCGAGCTAGAGAGAGCACAAAGAGCGCGAGAGTGATGCCACACAAGCCGCACGCCTCGCACACGACCCTTGCCAATTATTACCCTCTTTTACGGTGCATTTAATTAGGCCAATTCTCTTGCCGGCGGCAGTGGCCTCTGCCCTATTGTGGAGGCGTGACCAACGTGGCTCCCTATGAGCGATTTCACAGTAACAATTAGACACGGAGTGATGCTAATAATGACTATGTTCATGTGAAAATATTCACATCATGCTTGTTAAAAATATGCGCGTCGTGACCATATACTATGATATATAGTCACATACACAATCCCCACACGGGATAAGGGGTCAAAGGTGTAGGTCGTGGGTGGGCCAAGGTCAACACGACTCCTCATTACCACCCGCCGTCACAATATATCCTCTTCAAAGGAACAGCCAAAGCATGATTTGCGCCCGATGATTGATTGATAAAGATTAAGACTTGATAAAAGACAATCTACTTGAGAATGGTCCAGGACGGCCCGAAATGTCGTCGTCGTCCCTTCACCTTCTAGTGTGTAGTCTGGTCAACAAAGATTAAACCACCCTAGAGGTGGCACGGGCATGACTAGCCCGTAAGTGATTTGTGCCCGTCGTAATCTCCTTTACATCACCCCAGTCCCCCCTCCCTCCCCCTCCCCCCCACCTTTCCTGGCATCAACTTCACGTTCTCTTCTAACAGCTCCCTAGCCTTACATAACAGTATAAACCAGTGTTACATGTAAAAACAAAAACACCAGTGGTTATGATTACGGCATAATAGGCTCATTCACAGTCCTGCCTACTGAGAGCATGACGCGTTGAGTCAATAACCACTACAGACGTCGTTTTTCACTTACATAGGCCTAACATTAAACAAAACTTGCGTCCATTTAAGTACCATGAACGAATGTGGTATTTTCCAACAGGAGAAAACGACTGGAGAAGGAAACAGTAGGCCTTACCTTGAAGTTTGCGATGACACCCTCCAGGTAGTAGTGCCACTCGAGGGAGCGCAGGTAGATCTGGTGCCAGCGCTTCTCTAGGGAGCGAGCCTTGCGGGGGATGATGTCCTTAGTGCCGCGTCGGGCAGGTGGGTGTTGGTGGCGGGAGGTGGCGGGGGGGTCCTGGGTGCTGGTGGTCGTCTCGCAGCTTGGGGCAGGCGGAGGACCTCCTGCCACGGTGGCGGCGGCCGCGGCGATGCGTTCGTACTGGCGGAGGACGCTCTTCAACACTGGTCCGTGAGCCTCGATGTCTTTCAGCAGGATCTACCAAAGAATAGAAAACGTGGTTATTCAACTTTCGCTGGTATAGATTTAATCTCATTACTGCATTACACTCTTCATTCTGATATTGCTAACCATATAGCCTCATTATGATATAGCCGGTTGTTCAACGTCCTCCCAGCAAGCATAAGAAATATTGCCGGAACAACCGTGGACATTTTCAAGAGGAAACTAGATTTATTCCTCCAAGGAGTACCGGACCAACCGGGCTGTGGTGGGTATGTGGGCCTGCGGGCCGCTCCAAGCAACAGCCTGGTGGACCAAACTCTCACAAGTCAAGCCTGGCCTCGGGCCGGGCTTGGGGAGTAGAAGAACTCCCAGAACCCCATCAACCAGGTATCAACCAGCCTAACCGTCAAAATGACCGTTAATCTGGTTTAGGGAAACTCCCGAACCTCACCAACCGCAGTAGCCAGTGACGACAATACCTGCAGCCCGGAACAAGAGCGGTGGCCACTGGTGTCACTCCCTACAAACACAAATGTAGCACTTCCGGCGGCGGCTGGGCGGCTGGGGTTCACGCCAGACCTGCCCTGGCTGCTTCACACATTCTAACTCTCAACCCCATACACGGAAGTGTTTTGTTTTGAGCACAACAACAGTATGACGACACTCAGATACCTCAAAGGCAGCCAAACAATGATTATTGCACTGGCAAACAGGGTAATATAGTTTAATGGCTTGACTTTTGTGGAGGCTAAACTTGCACAAACACCAACACAATACTTAAGGCTACCGAGCTTTAGCCTCACGGGAAAACCACTAATCATCGCTGAAAGATATTCTGGGTTGGGTCATTATATTTTTCTCACTGCAGACGAGGGGAGAGCTGCAGGGTAAGAAGTAAATTGCTAGGCGTCTATTTTTTTTACTTATATCTCACAATTAAGTGTAGTCACAATACTGCAAATGGAAGTGCCTGAATTATGAGGGATCAATAGTGGTGTCACACGCACGCACGCACGCACAATTTGACAGGGTGGACAAAAACTATTTCAACCCCTCCTCAAGCACAATTAGGTGCGTACATATTTCAGACCTGTGAGTTTGATTACAATATTTAACGTTACTTCACAAACTAAATTTTCTTAAAAACTTTGTCAGGCAATTGTCTCCCTGTTTTTCCGTGGCCTGGCTGCACGTACTTCAGGTCCAAAACCTTGGTATCAAGTAACCAGTTAACGAACACAAGCTCAAAATTCCAACTTTAAGAGTCCTCCAGTAAATCGAAATCTCAAATGCCAGTGATTACAAGTACAGTATTCTAACTCTTATACCTCCCTAGTTCCGTGCACTCCTTGTCCTCAGTAGACTACCAGCAAGTCCAAATAAATATTACAGGTCAAATTCCTACAAAAAATGTAGGATCAGTTGGATTGTAGTGGATATGTGGGCGTGCAGACCGTTGCTCGGCGGAGCAAGTTATTACCAAACAAGCTTGGCCCCAGGCTGCAGGCTTGGAGAGTATATATACTCTCGAAACCGTAACAGGTAAACGACAAGTAAACAGAGGCAGTCTTTGGCATCTAATAACAATCCACATTTCGAAATGTTCCAGACACTGCCGTAGACGAGAAGTATTTCATGAGTTACAGATTCCTTAAGCAACAGAAGTTGTGTTTACAGGAGTAGTGTTATGCTGTGTTACAGAAGCGTCAGTAACTCAAACATGGCTGTCTGACACCAATACACTCATGTAAAAGGGTAAGACACTGATGGCTCGAGAAAGAAGCAATGCGATTAACAGGAAAAACTATATATTTAGATAAAAGTAGAAAAACGAAAGATATACAATGCAACACTCAGACGAGAGGTTGAAAGAGATGGAAATCATCTACAAAGGTCAAGAGGCAGTGAAAATAAATAGAAATGAGAAGCACAGGATTGGATAAGCGGCGAGGAGAGGCAGGCCTGGGTAAAGATGGAGAGGCAGCGAGAGAGGGAAACAAAATATTGTACAAACTTCCATCAGTCAGCAAGCATGGTAACCCGAGAAAAAACTGACGGACGTGAATTAGCACATTGAGGCAGGCAGGGCGGCGGGTGGCACGGTGGGCGGCGGCGGGTGGCACGGTGGGCGGGGGAGGGGCACGTTGGGCGGCGGCGGGTGGCATGTTGGGCAGCAAGGTGTCTCGGGGGGACAGGCAGGGCAGGGCCCGTGAGTCACCGCCGGCCACCGTGATGCTCCTCAGATAACGCCACGGGACCTACATACACCCACCACCACACTATCTCCAACCTTCTCACAACAATCACACAAACACTTAAGATTTACCTGATAAAACTCTTGTCTACGTATCGCCAAATTTAAGAGCTTTGTGTGAAGTATAAGCTTATTTAATCTGCCTCTTCCAATTCCCGAAGGTGGACAAGTATGACGCCAAAACCAGCATTGAAATGTTCTCCTTCAAGGCTACAGGAAAACACGCACACTTGGTAAACGCTTACCCATCTCTATTTCCAATAGGGAAAACAACATTCAAGTTGGGTACATAATGTGGGCCTAGTCGAAGCAGTCGTTGCGGGGCTTAAGTGAATATTTAAAAAAATATAAGTACAGTAATGCCAGATGGTCTAACTGAAACAGTACAATAAGCTAGTCAAGCCTTGACTACGAAATAATAAGACACTGAGGCAAGATATACCGCGCTAATGATGGCGAACCAACTGTAGAATAGGATATTGTGCTCTTAGGCACTTGTGCTCTCTCGTTTAGAATTCCCAAAACCTGCAAATACTTTATACAGAATGCATTTTTGGAGGGGGGGGGGGGGGGGGAGAAGGTAATATACTCAAACTGTACCTAGAAAATACTCTAAAGTGAGGTCCACAATCTGCACATTAAATAACAAATTACTTCATTTGTTACGCTTAAATTTAAATAATGTAGCCTATAGTAGTGTCGACACAAGAGGTCCACGACTCGCGTGCAATAACCGAGGAAAATAGTGAACTTCAAGTTCTTGAATGAGGGAAAACTGGAAACTCGATCATAAAAAGGAGCTATTTGAACACGCAGGCAACGGTGTAGTGAGTAGGTATTAGGAGCGGTGATATTACAACTTGAGAGCGGCGGGAGGAACTAGAAGAAGATCCTGGGGCTTGGGGTGGTGGCTTGGGAGTGTGCGCCCACCTGTCCGCCACACCCCCATAACAGTCCTATAATGTGGGTCCTAAACGCCGTGCACTACAAGAACTAAGAGCAACGCCCACGGCACGCAGGAGATAGCAAGGGTGTTACCGCCTCAGCCCGGAGAGTCGCTCCTCTTGGGGGTAAATATATTTCTTCAGCATGACTAGATACGGTGATCAGTTCCCGAGGAACGACTCGGCATGTCCAAGTGTATATATGGCAGTGGTTGATTCTAGGCATATACATGTCGTAGCGTCATTTAAACGCCAATTCAGACATTCTATTTTGTCTCCAGGTTAATTAAAATTGTATAAATGTGATTGGTGATCACAGAAAGAAAGGAAGAAAACCCCAGCGGGTTTTCTTCCTATTGGGGAATGTTGTACATGCTGGTATGGCGGTGTGTCAACTCACAGGATGAGTGGCGCTGCCCAATAAACTCGCCCCTCGGGGGAAAATTTAAAATTTAACGTGCCTTGCGGTAACGGCATAGGTTGAGGACCTGCTGGTCTGAAGGGAAGGGATCTGGGGACCTGCTGGTCTGAGTGTAAGTTTGTTTTGTATGCACAATTTTTATTGTGTGGTAAACTTTGATAAAATAATATTGTTTGTACTGAATCAAACAGTGTGCCGAGCTCCCAGTGAAGTAAATATATTGTTAAGAATACCCAATAAACTGTACTCGTGTTATATTAATTAAACACTTGCTTCTCTGCCTAAGGGTTTTAATCAGTTAATTGAATTAATCAGTAACTCAGAAGTTGAGGGCGCTAATTGTCATTATATAGTTGTTTTATATTCTTGTCTGTAAGTGGGATAGTCACACTGGCATAGGCAATTGTGTGCAGTAGTTTCCATTTTCTTCTTGAGATCTGTAAATGGGGATGGGCTTGCGGTGCTGGTCCCTGCGAGCCCTAGTCTGAGGCTGACAGTAACCTACCTCCGAGACGCACCTAACATATTATCACGACCAGTTCCAACGTGAGAGCTTTGCTTACAGGCGATAAGCCTCTGATAACATAAAAGGTAAATTATGGGCATGAATTAGCAACTAACTGCTTCATGTCTACTCAAGTGGGTTAGCATGAATGACCCAATTCTTAACGTTCACATAGTGAAAACGTTTAGAAATACGGCTAACACCACTTTAGTTAGGCCTAACTAAATAATTTTGATACAGGTGCGAACAGCCATAAGGGGCGGGAGCCGAGTACAACCTACAGGGAGGGGGACAAGTCCCCATACAAGGGTGTGGAGGCACCCGGACCTTATGGAGAAGTTTAAGGCTGGATCACCAGCCGTAACCAGCTCGCAACTGGCTTATATGGACAAGTTAGCAACCCCGCTACTCTCTCCGGCGTCCTTCCTGTCCCAACGCTGATTTATTGGCGCAAACTTGGAGCTGCGGGAACTCTCCCTCCAGTCACTGTCTTCCACACATGAGGTAGAACCTTGTTATATATAGTGTGGGAACAGCACCAGCTGAAGGGCAAGGGACAAGGAAGGGAAGGGGAAAGGAAAAGGAAGGGAAAGGAAGGGAAGGGGGAAGGAAAAGGAAGGGGAAAGGAAGGGAAGGGGAAAGGAAGGGAAGGGGAAAGGAAAAGGGAAGGGGAAAGGAAGGGGAAAGGAAGGGGAAAGGAAGGGGAAAGGAAGGGAAGGGAAGGAAGGGGAAGGAAAGGAAAGGAAAGTAAGGGAAGGGCAAGGGAAGGGAACTATCAGGAGAAAGCCCCAAGCCATTACGACTATATAGCACTGGGAAGGCTATATACTAAGGATACGACCGGGCCGCGGGGACGCTAAGCCCCGGAAGCACCTCAAGGTAACCTCAAGGCAAGGGGGGGGGGGCATT